TTGTCTGTGTGCTCGGAATTCATGTGGTTAAGTGGGATCCATGTTGACTTTTCTTTCCTTAGAATAGAGTATTACCTCAGTTACTTCTCATCTTTAGAAGAGATAATAGATGACATTAAGAATAAAATATCATATATAGTATATTAATAATAAAATGTTATGGGTATATTAGTATATTACACTATCATATATACTAACATATATCTTAATGTTAGTGTATTGTCATATCATATCGACAATACTAATTATATACATATTATATGACACTAATGTATAATAATATGTGATATACTAGTATATATTAGCATATTAATGAGATTGGTTAACAGTGAATAATTCACACTGCCTTTTTAAACAATGTGGAACCTGGCATTTCTAAGATGAGCCCTGGATGAAGAGTCTCCCTGTGGAGGGGGCAGATGGACAAAGCAGCCCTGATGCTGATGCTGAGCTGCTTTTTGTGGGGTCTCCCGTGAGTTGCCCCTTCTCTGCACCCCGTCCTCTGGGAGGGGGGCTCCCCTTCCTTCACTTCCCTGTGACATAGCAGAAGCAAGACCAGAACATTCATGATGACTTGACTTGGGGATAACACAAGAAACAGCAGTGTGGACAGAACTTCCCAGACTGGCCTCCTACTAGTGGTTTGCTCTGGGTGTTCAAAAAGAAGAGAGTCCAGAGGATTCTTTCTTTTAAACCTGTGACCCCTTTTTTCCAGGTGTGTCCTCAGTCCCTCTGATTCGAGATTTTTGACCAACCATTTGGATAAAAGACAACTTCCTCAGGATAATACAGTGGCTAAAGCCTTGGAGTAAGGCACAGCTGGGTTTTAACCCGAGCTGTTTGATCTTGTGCAAATTACTTACATCCCTTAAGTCTTGGTTTTCTCTCTGTGGAAGAGGGCTAATAATGCCTTTCTCATTAGGTCTCTCTTATTAGCATAGGGCCTGATGTGAGGTAGCCCCCGATAAATCAGCCAGTATTTAGCTTTATTTTCTATATGAATTACAATTAACACTTTAAACAGTACAATTTTATCTTACTATTTGGACAAAATGTTGATAAGCTTCATCACACAAAAGTCTGACTTCTTAAACTAGTCTATTTAGTACACTTTTACCTTTTCATGTTGATTCAAGGCCATTGTTAAAAAAACTTTTAAAAATCATTTCCCTATAGCTGTTCATATAAATAGAGACAAAGTATGAGTCTATAACCTAGTGGAAAAAGTGAGAACAAAAGTTACCTAGAATTTTCATTCTTGAAAAATATCTATCGTGTAAGCTTGCTTCTTTTGGTTTGGTGATTTTTGAACCAAAATCTTAAATCTACTAAGATGTCTCTACTTCTACCATCTTGTCTTATTGATTGTCTTGGCCCAAATAATGGAAGTTGGAGGTTCCAGGGGCATTTCCACTTTCGACCAACGATCCTTTGCGTTCTCATCCCCTTTCTTTCCTTATTCGGTGCTAACCCTACGTGTGCCTTCTCTACCACTTCTCTGGGTCTTTGCTTGCACAGTCGTGGCTCGTCTTGTCCAGGCACTGATGGCCAGTTAGAGGTGTCCTTTCCTTCTGGATTCGAAGAGGCCACCTTTCTTTTTTTTTT